ACACCAAAAGCATAAAACTATAAAAGAAACAAGGTAGATTTCATTAAAAAAGAAACCATGAAGAAAATGAAAAGACAAGTCAGAAATTGAGAAATATTTGTAAATATTTTTCCTGATAAAGAACTTATATGAGGTGTATGTAAGCAACTGATAACTCAAAAGAAAAAAATACCCCCATTTAAAAATGGTCAAAAGACCTGGAGATTTCAGAAGATGTAAAAGCACAAGAAAAGATGCTCAAAATCATTAGGTATAGGGAAATGTAAATCCAACTAAAATGAGATATTACTGCATACTCTCCAGGATGTCTACAATCAAAATGAGAGACAATAAAGGTGCAGGTAAGGATGTAGAGAGACCAGAACCTTATACATTGCTGGTAGGAATATAAAAAGATACAGTCACTCTGGCAACACTTTAGCAGCATCTTAAGATGTTAAACCTAGAGCTGGCAGAGTGGCTCAAGCGGTAAATGCCTGCCTAGCAAGCCTGAGGTACTGAGTTCAAACCTTAGTAACCACAAAAATAAATAAATAAAAGAGGTTAAGCTGGTTAACCAGCAATTCTACTCCTAGGAATATACCAATGAGGAATGAACATATGTCCTGCACAAAGCGTGAATGGGAACGTTTACAAGAGCTCGCTATTGAAATAAGTAAAACTAGCAGCAATCTAAATGTCATTCACGGGTGAATTTAAAACACAGTGCATCACACAATGAAATAGTATTCAGCACAAAAGGAATGACATAGATAAGGTGCTACAACATGTATGACCCATAAAAATACAATGCTAAGTGAGAGAAAGAAGACTCAAACATGAATTTGTATGATCTCAAATATATATGTCCAAAACATTTATAAATGCAGCAGCATATAAGCTGTGTAGGATTGGGATGTGAACAGGCACAGACTACACATGGGCTTGAGGGAAACTTTTGGGTGATGGAAATGTTCTAAAAATGGATTTTGATGATGGCCATACAATTCACACATTTACTAAAAATCAGTGATTACAATGATGATTTTATGTAAGAAAACTATCAATAAGCTCAGAAAAAGTGTAACAGATGTCTCTAAGGTACCACAGCATAAGAGAAAAGGGTAACCAACCCTCCTTGTATGAGGGGGCAGGAGCCAAGAGGGAGACAATAAAGCAGAAAATACTGCAAGGTTTGTGTATTCCTTCAACAAATATGTATTGTCTACTGTAGGTGTTCAAGAAAAAAAGTCAACACAGAGGTCTACACATGTACAGCCTGCAACGCTAAAGGAAGAGGCACACAGTTAGCAATAACAAACACAATAAAGTGAAATACACAGTATGCATCAAGACATACTTGAGTTTAAAATCAAAGGGTGAGCATCATCAGGCAAAGAAAGGGGAAGAGGAATGCCAAGAAACACAGGATATGCAGGCTGGTAAATGTGGGCTCAGAGCTGCAAAGGTATACAGTAAAATGACCAAATGGCAATGAAATATCAAAGTAGGAATCAAAAGGGACAAGCATTGCTTTACTTAACTGTCCCATCAAGACAAATTACAGTCATAGCTGCATAACAATGTTTCAGCCACTGACAGACTGCACAAATGACAGTGGTCCCTTAAATTATAATGGAGCTGAAAATGCCTATCACTAGTGAGTCTGTGGCCATCACTTTACAGTAACATTACAGATGTCAGCATAAAATGTACTGCAATGCCAGTTGTATAAAAGTATATAGAACACCCAATTATAAGTACAACATAATACTTGATAATAAACAGTTATTGGTTTATATATTTACTGTGTTTTTCCCCCCAGTTTTGGGGACTGAACTTAGAGCCATGCATACCACTGAGCTACGTCTCAAGGCCCCATACTTTTTGCTTACAGTAAATTCCTTCCATTTATTAAAAAAAAAAAAGTGGGCAACTGAACTAAACAGAACTTTTTCAAAGGAAGAAATCCAAATGGCCAAAAAACACATGAAAAAATGCTCACCATCCCTGGCCATGAAGGAAATGCAAATCAAAACCACACTAAGATTCCACCTCACTCCTTTAGAATACTACCAAGACCACCACCAGCAAGTGTTGGCAAGGTGAGGGAAAAAGGAACCCTCATACACTACTGGTGGGAATGTAAGCTAGTACAACCACTTTGGAAAACAATATGGAGACTTCTTAAAAAACTGAACATAGATCTGCCTTATGATCCAGCAATCCCACTCCTAGGGATATACCTAAAGGAATGCGACTCAGGTTATTCCAACAGGACCTGCACACCTATGCTTACTGCAGCACTCTTCACAATAGCCAAGCTATGGAAACAGCCAAGATGCCCCACTACCAAAGAATGGATTAAGAAAATGTGGTATTTATACACAATGGAATTTTATTCAGCTACAAAGAATGAAATTTTGTCATTCACAAGAAAATGGATGGAACTGGAGAACATCATCTTAAGTGAAGTTAGCCAGGCTCAGAAGGCCAAAAACTGTGTGTTCTCCCGCATATGTGGATTATAGACCTAAAACAAATGCAGCAATATTATTGAACATGGGTCACCCACTAAGGGCAGAATGCATATGGGAGGAATAAGGAAAGCAAGGAAACCTAAAACTTGAATGTGGCTGATGTGCCCACTGTAGCGAGCAAATATAGTAATCTTGAACTAGCAGAGGCCACTATGGGAAGGTGACCAGGAAGTAATAAAGAGGTCTGGTAGAGATGAACCAATGTGAGCTGAAATAGACATATGCATAGAATCAACACTAGGAATCCCTCTGTATAGCTGTCTCTATCTCCAACTAGCAAAAATGCTGTTTCTTATTATCTCTTATGATTTCTCTTAACAAAACTGGAGAACAAGAGGGCAGAACAGGTTCTACCTGGAAGCAAGGGGGGTGGAAGGGTTTGGGGAAGGGGGAAGGGAAGGGAGGAAGGGAAAGGTGGCCCAAACAATGTATACACATGTGAATAAATATAAAAACAATAAAAAAAGTTTTTTTAAAGTTACATGAAAAAGTACCTTAGGCGGGTCCTTCAGGAAGTATCCCAGAAGAAGGCATTATTGTCATAGGCAGTGACGGCTCCATTCATGTTACTGTCCCTCAAGATCTTCCAATGGAATGACAATGAAGTCCAGGCCATCACGTTCACTCATCACACTCACTGACTCACCCACAGCCAACTTCCACTCCTGCTAGCTCCATCTGTGGTAAGTACTCTGTACTTACAACATGGTGGACCATTTTTAAACTTTTATACCACATCTTTTTTCTGGACTTTTTCTTTGGTTAGACATATTTAGATACACAAATACTTATCATTGTATTACAGTTGTCTACAATACTTGGGACAGTAACATGCTGGAAATGTTACAGTCTAGAAGCAATAGGTTATACCATATAGTTTATGTGTTTGGTGGTTATACCCCTTAGGGTTATTTAAGTATACTCACACAATCTCAAAACCACCTAATGATGGTCTTAGAATGTATCCCTGTTGTTAAGCAACATGTGACTGTATCTTAATTTGTACAAATTTAACTGAGAATAAACAATTTGCTGTGTTAGAACAGAAATACTAATAGGACATATTAAATACAGTCTTTAGGAGATGATCAGTGCTTGGCACAGAGAGTGTTCTAAAGATGCCATTAGTTTTAGAATTCATATTAGTGTCATAGAGCCTAAATTATTCAATTCTACTGTTTGGATCTAAAATGAACCCCAAAGGCCACACTTTAAAATCTTGGTTGCCAGCTGTGTGCTATGAGAGATTGCAGAATTTTAGGAAGTGGGGCCTGGAGGAAGGCAATAGGTCATTCGGGGTGTGTCCCTGAAAGGGATATTAGGACTCCAGCCCCTTCCTTTTACTCTTTGCTTTCTGGCCACAATGAAGTAAGCAGTCTTCTCTACTACCTGCTCCCCCTCCATGATGTTCTGCCTTGCCACAGGCCCAAAGGCAATGGGGCAGCAGACCAGGGATTGAAACCATGAGTCAAAATAAGGTACCATGGTATTCTGTCACACCAATAGAAAACTGACTTACACAGAAAGGAAAATCAAATCAATCCAGTATCTAAAAGAGATCTGCCTCCTCTTCCCAAATGGTCCTTGTAAGAATACTGCATGGAAGTTCATTTCTACTCCTTAGGGATAGATCAGAACACTCCCCTCTTTTTCTTCTTCCACATGCTAGACAGGTGCTCTACCTGTGAGTTATACCCCCATCCCCAAAGCTCTCTTCTTTATGACACCAATTTCTATAGTGTTAACAAAAAGAAAGCCAGCAATAATAAACTAATCCTCAAAGATTAAATTAAGTGAGTAAATATATGTGTGTATAGTAAAGGGTTCACTCAGCAGGCCTGATGCCCAAACCCTGAATATCCCGACCCTTGAAAAGACTCCTGGAAGATAACTGGTAGGCCCTTAGAATACCTTGCAGAGAACTATGTGTTTGTACAGCTACACTATATCAATTTGATCAGACAGTTTATGTTAACAATGTGACTTATGGGGAATGTCTATTTTCATATGCTTGAAGCCTTCAGCCTGATCTTTGGGGGACAAGAGACTCAGTAGCTAAAGTCAGCCATATAGGCACTGCCTGTTGCTATGACTGATCTCAATAAAAACCCAGGACTCCAAACTCAGGTAAGGTGTCCTAGCTGGCAACACTTTACCAATGTTACCATGTGTTGTTACTGGAAGAATTAAGTGCATCCCTGTGGGACTCCAAGGGGGAAAGGACACCTGAACTTTTTGCCTGGTTTCTGCTCTATGCACCTTCTCCCTTTGCTGATTTTAATCTGTATTTTTGCACTCTATTAAACCACAATGGTGAGTTAGATCGGATTTTTGAGTTCTCTGAATCCATCTAGGAAATTATTAAGCCTAAAAGCAGTCTTGGAACCCTCCAACATAATATCAAAGTGAACATTGTATCTAGCAAGCAAGTATAAGCAGTCGTCACCAAGTGCTGAGAAGACATTTGAAAGTTTTAAGATATCCAGACAGCGCTATTTGTGCCAAGGATCTCCACAACCACAGTAAATCTGAGTGAGAAGAGGATTAGGCAAGAGCATGCTGTTTCTTTCATAACAAATCTGAAGCACACTTAGTTTGATGGCAAACTTTAAGTCAATTTCACAAGATCCTGCTCTAGTCAGTGGACGATACTAAAACAGAGTGAATGTTTGAGTATTAACAGAAACAAGATGACAATAATCAGACTGGAAAGAGCAATATATACAATGGAAATCTCATAACTGAAGACATACCTTTATTTCCTCTACGCTGGGAAGTGATGCATTTAGAAATTCCTGAGTTAATCTCTTCCAACTAGCAGCTTTGCTGAGATCAGAATGAATGACGAACTTTTCATAAATTCTAAAATGTAAAAAAGTCAGATAACAATTTAAGAAAAGATACCTATTTCTGAATATGTACATACACACACGTATGGAACTGACTTACCCTTCTATTGTCTTTTCTATTTTGTGGCTATTGACATCCAAGAAACGATGAAATCTAATAAAGATAAAATGCAATTTTTATGCTGGTTTTAACTTTCCATATTCCTTCCCCCTCAACATACCCCACTTTGCTATACATTTCCAGAGTGCTCCTCTCCCCCCATTACTTCTAATAATAGGCAGGCAATCACCATGTATCAGACTGCTTAATCATCTTTTCAGACTCAGGGCATCAAAGCCTCCCAACTCTGTCCTCTGGCTCCACTGTCTCCCCATAGGGCTCTGTGTCTTAGGTCCAGGAGAACACTATCTACAAAAGGTTTTCCTAGTCTTTTCGATGCATGAAGGAGGCCCACTGAAATCTAAGGACACCTTCTCTGAGCAACGTTTTCATTCTTTCTGTGTAAAACTATTTATTTTTACTAATATTTAGAGTACAGGAACAAAGGGAGTAGAGAGAAACACCTCCAAAGCAACAGTGAGTTAGGACCTGCCCACAGCTAAGGGGGAAGGCTACTCTAGGGTGTGCTAGCATGTACTGCCCTCCCTCCTACTTAATGTCAGTGCCACTAAGCAGAAAACCAAGGAATCAGGATGTGAAGACCTTACCAGCTGCTGAAGAGTGTGCAAGGGAAAGGGACATCTATGCTCCTTCCTTGTGACCTAAGAACCAGGATATACAGGCAGAAGGCAGAGGCTCCCAACTCATTTAAGGGCAGGAGGCTGAATGTCCAGGTTCAGGAAGACAAAAAGGGGATTATGGAGGTAGGCTTTTTTTATCAAGTTAAAAAACGGGCACATTATCCAACATTTCACTGTGGCCTCCAAGCTGCTGGCCTGGTACCCTGGCACATCTCTCCCCACAAAACCAAACAGAATGACGGAGGCAGAAGACAGTAAGGTCCAAGGATGGGGAATGCTTGGGTCCCCAGAGACCACCCAAAGCTAAGCCAGCCAAGCACAGGAAGGACAAGTGAAGCCAATAGTCCTGTGTGGGGTAGGGTAGGACAGGGTAGAGTCAGGAGGGTGACCAAGAACATCCTGGCTTAGGCAAAGGATCCTGTGTAGCAGGACAAAGGGTCACAGAGGTTTACCCAGCAGGGAAGAGGCAAGGTAAAGCTGCACAAGGATATGGAAAGCTCCTGGTGACTGCAGCCTCTGAGCAGTATTTAAAAATTTTCACATATTAAGAAATATATTAAATAACAAACAACTAAAGTAAGAGCAAACACTATTTATAGATATCTGCTGTAATACGACATGAAAATAACATGATTTCTACAGGCAACAAAATCATAGGTATGTTAATACTACTGGGGTCTGTTGCCTTCTTTCATAATTGATGGAAACGCTACTTTCCAATTATTGGTTTTTTAATTGTTTCTTTTCCTTGTCTAAATTCACAAACGCCAGAATTCCATCCTCAAACTCTCAGGTTAACTCATTATATACCATAGTGTAATTAACTTTACTCCTTATCTTTCTTAAGGATAAAGGTTATCCCTTACCCGTTAGTTTCTAGGGCCAAGAAAATGGCCACAATTCACAACACATGTAAACATGAACTGTTCATTTTTCTGAAGGATTAAAGCATATAAAATCATAGCATTGCTTCCTCAACACTTATTTTCCATTCTTCAGTAGCAAAGCCGGTAATCTCTACTGAAAAGTACATTACACTATTTAGTAACTCATCTACTTCTACCTCAGTAAATGGCTGAGTGTAACAGCACTTTACCTACTATCATAATTTAGTTTCTCAATCCGTAAATGGAGATAGTAAGTCCTCATGTCTTCCCTAACTCTACAATGATGATCTGCCTATTGTCATTTGAAAAATTAAGAGAAAATTACTTGGGCTACGGTATATAAGTGTCTGTGTCATATGAGCTTTTTGAAACATGCTATTTTTATAAATTACAATTTATAATTAAGTTTTTCTTTCAGAAATGAAAACATGCATCTGAAAGCCAGTAATAAACCAAGTAGGAACTTTGTGTCTATAATCATTAAGGTAAACAAGATGCCGGATTTTGAAAAACTTCTCTATTCAAGATTTTTATTGGGCTGTACGTGTAGCTCAGTATTAGAGACTGAGCTCACCATCTGTGAGGCCCTGGGTTCAATCCCCAGCATGCAAAGATTTTTACTGACATTAACTAGGTAGAATATTAATATGGACTAACATTCTTTTAGCATTAATTCCATTTTGGGTAATGATCATTAACAGCATTGCCTAATTTACATTTTTATAAAGAAAAAATATGAGATCTAATTACACCTAAATACTTAAAAGTGTGTATGCATCTTTAAACACTAATTACAAAAGAACCTGACTAGAACTTGTAGTAACCAGGAACTGTTCTAGATTACTTCCAGCCCAGCTGTAGGTAGCAGTGGAAGACACAAAGTGTCCTTTGTGTTTGATAAGTGTTTTGGAAAAAGACACCCAGGATAGGGGAGATCTGCAAGTGCCCCGAGCAGAGATAAGGAGACGGTAAGAATACAATTTGGACCACACTTTTGCTCCAAAAATTCATTTACCCAACCATTCAAAACATAACTTCAGATGTGCAATTACCGCGCCGAGTGCAGTGGGGACAACCCTGCTCTCTAGGGACAACTCTAAAACCCACAATCCGCCTTTTGAGCTGTGCTGCTTCTGCGACAGGGACCTCAAGCCGGGGCACCGCGCAGCAGCCGCAGCCACAGCACGGCCCGCCAAGGTGTCCCAGGCGGTCGCGCCCACTCCATCCCCGTGGCCAGAGGGTCCGCGCGCCGCGCCCCACACCTGAAGTTGGACCACGCGAAGTTCAGAGCCAACTGGAAGTTGGGGTCCGCCTCGTCCTGGAGGCCAGTGACGCGCAGAATGAGCTCGCACACGTCACGCTCCTGCAGAATGCCCAGTCGGCTTCCGCACTGCCCAGGCCGCGACATTACTCCACGTTCCCACAGCGCCGGATCTTCACGGCTTGGTCACCGTTCTCGCGAGTCTTTAGGCTTCAGTGGTGCGGAGTCTTCGCGAAGTGGCAGGCATTTCTCGCGAGAGTTCGCGAGCATTCTCACGAGAGTTTGTGATCCTTAGGTATTGAGTCTTGTGTTTTCCTCAGCAACAAGTCAGCTTGCGTTTGTAGTGGCGCTGTGCTTCCTCTGAGAGTTGGCCATTGCTCTTATTAATCAGATTAATAAGGGATTCTAGCTAGCCCTCCGTTGATGATTTAAGTTCTAATGCCTTCATTTCCAGTAGCATGGCTACTTCTGCAAGCTTCAGTTTCTTATACAAATGATCCCTTCGGACCTCTCAATATTATGTATCCACAAATGGTCCACATGCAGCAGGTGTTAGCAAGGTGGATTGTCCGGGCATGTAGTCTGACTGCTGCAGCCTCACTTCTGCTGTCTCTGGCCTGCAGCACTGGGTGGCCACAGGCAGATTTCATAACCTGATCTAGCCATATACCTCTTTAATTTTTTTTCTTTTTAGAATCTAACAGCATGTTTTTTTTTCCTATTTCTTTTCTTTATTATTAGTAGTACTAGTATTATTGTGCTGGATAGGGATACATTGTAGCGTTTACAAAAGTTTTTTTTTTATTATTATTCATATGTGCATACAATGTTTGGGTCATTTTCTCTCCCTTTCCCCTCCCTTACCTCCCCTTACCCGTCGCTAACTGGCAGAAACTATTCTGCCCTTATCTCTAATTTTGTTGAAAAGAGAGTATAAGCAATAACAGGAAGGGACAAGGGTTTTTGCTAGTTGAGATAAGGATAGCTGTACAGGGAGTTGACTCACATTAATTTCCTGTACGTGTGTGTACGTAAATTAATTCTTCTGAACTAACCTTTTCTCTAGTTCCTGTCCCCTTCTATTGGTATCAGTTGCTTTAAGTATCTGCTTTAGTTTCTCTGTGTTGAGGGCAACAAAATATCTAGTTTTTTGGGTCTCTTACCTATCCTCACCTCCATTGTGTACTCTCCTTTTATCGCGTGCTCAAAATCCAATCCCATTGCTGTGTTTGCCCTTTATCTAATGTCCACATATGAGGGAGAACATATGATTTTTGGTCTTTTGGGCTAGGCTAACCTCACTCAGAATGATGTTCTCCAATTCCAGCCATTTACCAGTGAATGATAACATTTCGTTCTTCATGGCTGCATAAAATTCCATTGTGTATAAACACCAGATTTTCTTAATCCATTCATCAGTGGTGGGGCATCTTGGCTGTTTCCATAACTTGGCTATTGTGAATAGTGCCGCAATAAACATGGGTGTGCAGGTGCCTCTGGAGTAACCTGTGTCACATTCTTTTGGGTATATCCCCAAGAGTGGTATTGCTGGATCATATGGTAGATCAATGTTTAGATTTTCAAGTAGCCTCCAAATTTTTTTCCAGAGTGGTTGTACTAGTTTACATTCCCACCAGCAGTGTAAGAGGGTTCCTTTTTCCCATCCTCGCCAACACCTGTTGTTAGTGGTGTTGCTAATGATGCTACTCTAACAGGGTGAGGTGGGATCTTAGTGTGGATTTTAATTTGCATTTCCAAAGTTCTTACATGTATCAAATATATCACACTTGGACTCACTCCCCCATACACACACTGCCTACAGCGTTTTTGTTGTTCTTTGTTTTATGTTGTTTGGCAGTACTGGGGTTTGAATTCAGGGCCTTACACTTGCTAGGCAGGCGCTGTACTGCTGGTGCCATCCTCCTATTCATTTTGTTAAACTTATGAAATACATTTCAAGTTGTGTTTAATGTGATTATAATTTTTAAAATGTTGGAAAAACTGTAGAAAGGAAACTTGGCTAGATTTCATATTACATTACATATATCCTCTAAAATCAGATCTTTAGTGGCATTGCCATTCTACATGATTATGACTCTGAAAGCCAGCTTTATCCAGTGCAGCTTATTTTAAAAAATATATAAACAAACTACTCCATTTCTATTACAGTTGACAGTTCTGTTCCAATATGGCAAAAAAACAAAAATTGTAATGCTAGCAACAAGACTATCAGAAAGGGTTTTGAGAGAAAAATGTCAGAGTTGATCCTCTGATTAAGCAAAGCTAGACCACTGGTAGTACATTTCCATGCAAGGGAAAGATCTAAAGTATCTCTAAACCTATCTGGAGATGTACATATCCAGAGGTGCAGGTACAGTTGAATGTCAGAAATGGCAGTATCACTGACCAAGTAAATAACCTAGTTATTGTTTATTTGTCTGGTTGTTTTTTTAGGTTATGCTGTAGATTGATCCCAGGGCCTCATGCATGCTAGGCAAGTACTCTTCTACAGAGCCACATTCCTGGACCAAAGATAGGTAGTTTTAAAGATTGATGCTATTATGTTATAAATACTTTGTCCAAAATATACTACTTATCTCACAGTGTAATAGCTAGTGCAGCTTGGGGGGAAACAGAGTAAACATACATTCTAGAACTCCCACATCTAGCAAAGAAAATTCATGAATATTTATCATCTACAGGGTGCCAGACACCAATGAATGCCTGGCACCTGTTCTGTTGACTGTTTCTGAGAGAATAGAGGTTAGGGTATGTAGGGAATGAGACTTGGGCCAGAACCTTGATCCAGGAAAGTGGCATTAGAGCCTGTGCAAAGCCATGATGAACAGCCTCCACACTTCAATTCCAGGGTACAAGGTCAGAAGAGTGTGAAGAGTGATTGGATCCAAAAATGAAGATTTTATAATCTGCTGATGCCCAGTATGTCCCAGAGGAGAAACATAGAGCAAAACCATAAAGAAACATGAGAGGGAGGGAGGGCTAAAAGGGGAGAGGAGAGAGACAGAGACAGAGAGACAGAGAGAGAAGGAGACAGAGAAAATCCTTATTTAGGCATCAAAGTGGTTCAATGCAAGAGTTATCTCTATCTTCACACAATCCTAGAAGGGTTTTATCTCCATGTTACAAATGTAAGAATTGATATTCAGAAAAAATGTCTGGAATCTATCCCCAAGCCTGGTTACAAAACCAATATTGTTTTCTATTCTATTCCATTGCCTGTCAGGAAAGAGTAAAGAGTGAGGGTCTTTGGCTCCAGTAGACATGACTTAGTTACACAAAAATTAGAAGCCATGTGACTCTCACTTGAATGTGAACAAGTGAGAACTTGTAATCATATTTGAGTATCAGTTTGCATTAACTTTTAAAAAATGCTTCATAATAAGGTACCCTAAAATGTTCATAAATATAGGGCTGTGTACCAAAAGCATTCATTTTCTTTCATCTCTATTTTTTCTCTCATTTTTGAACTTGTTTTTATAATCAAATGATGTGTTTGAATTGGTATTTAACACATAATCCTAATTTTTCTACTTCATGGATTTTAACCAATTAGAAAGACAAAAGTAGGAGATGGAAGGAGATTAGAATTTAATGTATGTATAATTACTCAAATTGTACTATTCTCTAGTAAAGCTAGCTGGGAGAATGAGCCTTTGACTTAAGGCAGAAATCAGGTTTGCTACTCCTTAAGTAACAATCAGTCTGACATCTTCAGTCTTTCTTCTCCAGCCCAACAACCTGAAAGTAAACCCTGGATGCTGAACTGCCAAATGCAGCATTAGCACTGTATTAGAGCTCCTCCAAGCCTTACAAAGATGTCTTCCTTGTGGTTGGGATAGAGTGAGAGAGATGGTGCAGAGGCCCAGAGGATTCCTCTGTGCTGTTATCTGTCATCAGTATTGAAGGTAGAAGAACAAGCCTCCTTCCCAACATTTGGCAGTTTTTTCCTCTCAGAATATTTAGTATCAGTTACACTGGCATAAATTATGTAATTTATTTAGGTGGCATGCTGATAGGTATTGTTAACATGTAACTGTTTTATGTTTATGTGTATTCAGAAAAATATGCAACTAATACACTTTAACACATGTATCATGGAGAAAACATTAAGTCAAAGATTTCATAGGACACAGTTGATATTTAAAGAAAAAATATGATATTAGTATTAGTATAGAAAAATCATAAAGGCAGCACATATATGAAGGATTTTTGAGAAATAATATCACAATGCACTGAATCTCACAAGCAGTTCAGAAATAGTAGGGAAGTATGCCTTTTCACAGAACTGTTGTGTTTTCAGGCATCTAAAATCTACTTCTTTTGTACCAAGTCTCTCTGGGACTACTGAGGGCTGTTTCACTTTTTTTTAACCTATAAAACACTTAGCCACATTTCTTAGTGAAGACCACATGCAGCACCCCAAGCAGAAAATTCATTTCCTATTTTATTTCTTATTACTAACAATGCCCACTGTGTTGCCCAAAATTGCTCACCAGGTTCTGTGAAATGAAACAAGGACTAGCAATAGCAAAAATGTTTCAAATTGAAATAAAGTACAACTCCTCATTTTTCAGCTTCCCCAAAGTTAATTCCCTTACCAATGAAAAACTTCAAATTCTTTCATTCCCAAGTTTATATAGTTGGCTGGGTGTCAGCCAGTAGGTCTTACTCATCTGCTGGGGTTCCTATAACTGCATGTGTATACCGGGCTGTCTTTCACAAGAAGACTTACAACTCTTCAGCCTCTTTGAAATTAGGTTAATTCTAATTACTTAAGCTCTACAAGGGTAATAGTCATAGAATAAACTGCATCTGCACTACTGAAATTATCATGAGGAAAATTGCAATCAGTTCCAGAATTAAGTGAATAGCATGATCTTGGTTGAAACAGTGGTTGCCAACCAATGAGAATGGCAGGTAACTTGGTGATACATGTGTTGTAGACAACAAGGGCCTGGACACAGTCTTCAGTTCCATGAAGACCAGTCAGCTGCACTAGTGTCAAGTGCCTGTGGATCTACATTCACTAAGCACAAACTGCTATGGACAATTGTGCTTCTACATGTTTAGTGTGAATGTGTGTGTGTGTGTGTGTGTGTGTGTGTGTGTGTGTGTTTATGGGCTTTGTTGTTTGTGTTGATGGTGGTTCTGGG